ATTTAATTAAATAAGACAGAATTAAAATTTTATTTTGAAAAAATAATTTATTAATATTTATCTGAGGTACTAATCTTTTTGCACCAACCCATAATAATATAAATAATAAATAAGAAGAATGAGTAAAAATATTAAAAGAAATATCTAATTAAAAATATTAATAATCTAAATTAATAATATAGGTATATTAATAATTATCTATATGATAATATGCTAATTCTAATATATTAAATATATAATAATCATTTGTATATCCAAAATAAAATTGATCTTTAAGAAAAAGTAATATAAAACTAATCTGTAATATAGATAATGCAAAATAAAGATCTAAACTAAAAGAAAGATAATTTAATTAAAATTATTACATACTCTCTTACTTAAAGTATAATATTTTTATTATATTCAAATACATAATTTTTCAAAGATATTAATCTTCTCTATAGTATTTTTTAAGTTTTCTAGAGATTTTTAAGTTATATTATAAAGAGAATAATTAAGTTATTTAACAAGATATAGAATTTATAATTATGAATTCTTTTGTCAAGAATATTTTCTATCTTATATTCTTTTTCATTATCAGGATAATGATTACTGATAATAATTGGTGTTTATTAAATTTATTATCTGAATTATGCTTTTTTAAAAGTGATATATAAAATATTAGATATAATTTCATATTATATGATAATTACAGTTTATAAGTAACAAAAGATATTTTTTTTGTGATAACTTTAAAGAGATTTATAAAATTTGATATAAGCTTTTTAATTATTCTTTATTTATTAATTAAAGTATTTATATTATAAGTAAAAAAAGATCTTTATCTTTAAAATTAAATTTTTTAAATCTTTTATGCTAATTTGCATATTTACTTTATCTATCTTAAGCTTCTAATAATAAATTTTTAGCAATTTTTATTATGATATTCTAATATTTCATGAAATTTTATGAGATTATAATATTATTTTGTAAGAATAAGATATTAACTAGTATATAAGATACTTATCTATAATCTAATTCAAATAATATATGACCAGTTGAAATATTTTTACTATTATTATAAGAAAATTTATAACAGCTAGATTTTCATCTCATCTATTTTACTGATAGATAGTATATATTCTTAATATTTCTTCTAATATTCTATTAAGTCTTTCTATTTAATTATCAGTTTGTAAGTAAAAAATAGTTAACATAACTAATTTTATATTTAGTTATTTAAAAAGAGATTTTTAAAAGAGATTTTTAAAAGTAACTTATAAATTTAGTATCTCTATTTGATATTATAATTATAAGTAAATCATGCAATTTAAAGATATTTTTAAAGAACAACTTAGCAATATCAGGTATAGTTATTGTTATTGTAATTAGTATAAAGTATACTTTTTTAGATAACTTATCTACAAATATAACTATTATATTATATTTAAACTTGATAATTAGGAGTTGAATTATAAAATTTATAATAATATATATCTTTTATATTCTGAAATAGTAAGTGATTAAAATAATTTTAAAGATTATTAATTACTAGATTTATTATATTAATATAATTTATAACTGGTAATATATTTGTGAATATTTTTGTTTATCTTTAACTAATAATACTATTAAGAAACTGCTATATATATCTTATCAATTCTAATATATTCTGCTATTAGTATATTATGAAATTCAAATGATATTTTTACTTTCAAGATCTTGTTATTTGAAATAACTAGGTGATTAGTATTTTTTAAATAAAGCAATTTTTTTTAACTCAAAGTTTTTAACTTTAGTTGATTACTTGAATGCTATATTATTAAAGTTCTTTAAGACTTCATAAAATATTTATCTTTCTGATATTTCTTGATTAATTTTTCTTTTTTAATAAGATTAGTGATGATGATTATTATATTAGCTAAATATAATTAATATAGAAGTGTATCTATTACTATATTATCTTTATCAGATTTGTATTTTACTTCAAAGTTATTAACTTGTAAGATTTCTAACCAATGAGCTTATCTCTTGAAAATATTATATTATTTTTTTATATATTCTAAAGAGATATAATCTGTAATTATTATGAACTTTTACTCTTCAAGATATGATTTTCAAAATTGAATTACCTATATAATTACAAGTAGTTTCTTTTTATAAACTGGTTAGTTTTGTTCTGCTAGTGAAAGTTTTCTTAACTCAAAAACTATAAATTAATCACTCTTGTCTTGATTTTGATTTAATACAGCTTCTATAATAAAGTTTGAAGTATTTGTAATTACTGTGAATAGTAATTTTAAATTTGATAATAATAAGACTAGTACTAATATAAGATGTTATTTTAAAATATTAAATACTTATTATGTTATGATAGATTATTTATAATCTTTATCTTTATGCAAAAATATTGTAAGAGATAATATTATTACTAAAAATCTTTTAATAAACTTTTTATAATAACTTATAAGTTTAAGAAATGATTAAAATTCTGATTTATTTATTGATGCTGACCAATTTCTAATTGTAATAATCTTTCTTTGATTTATTGAGATACTATCTACTGAAATAAAATATCCTAAATACTTTATATATTGTTATATAATATTATATTTCTTTTATTTAATATATAATTATACTTGCAAAATATTTCTAAGACTATCTAAAGATGCTATATATATTCTTTCTTGATTTTATTATATATTAGAATATTATCTAAGTATATAATTATAAACTTATCTAAGTAATTATGAAATATATTATTTATTAGTATCATAAAAATTACTAATATATTAGTTAAATTAAAAGATAAAATCAAGAACTCATAATATTTATAATAAGTTCTGAATATAATTTTATATATATTTTTTTTTATAATATATATTTGATAATATTCTGAATATAAGTTTAGCTTTGAAAAATACTTTGATTCTGTAAGTTTGTTCATTAACTTATTAACTCTTGATAATAGATAGTGATTCTTAATAATGATTTTATTTAAAGTTTTATAGTTAACATATAGTCTTAATATTCTTTTTTTCTTATATACAAAAAAACTGATATTTCAAAAGATAAAATACTTAGGTGAATAAATTTTTCTGTATTAAATTAGCTAATTATTTCTTGAGTTCATTCATTTCTATAAAAAAAAGCCTATAAGTAATAATTTTATAATCAATTACTCTTTTGAATGATAGTTAATTTAATAAGATTTCTAAAAATATCTCTTTATATTTCTTCTTAATTTCTATTACTTCTGATAATAGTTATTTTTTTTAATATCTTCTTTATCTTTAGTATTATTAAAATGTATGATGAAGAATTCTGCATCTGCAGATAGATTTGCAATCTGTTGTCTTGATATATAAATTGAATTGTAGTTTAAACTGAATTTAACTTTATTATTTACTTGTATTTTAATAGTTTTTGATCCATAGGTAAAGATAATGGTATTATTTCTCTAATCTATAGTTAGATTGGCATGAAATAATCAAGATTTATCTAGGATAAGAATATATCTTTGCAACTTTAAAATCTGTATATTCATCTTATATATTTTATAAGTGTCTAATTTTAGTTTATCAATCTTGGCTATGGTGATGACAGTAATTTTCTTGCTATCTGTAAGTTCTACTATAACTAATATCATTTTCTATAATTTTACTTTATTCATCTGTATAAATTTCTCATTAATAAAATTTTTAAATACATCACTATTTAGTAATATTCATATTGACTTGTTATTTACTTGGCTATTAAATTTTAATAATCTTTCTCTATTGTCTTCTAAATGAGTGAATTCAATTTTTTCATAAAATTGTGAAAACTCTTCTTATTTATCTTTTATATTTGTTATTTTGATTTTGAATTTGGAATAATAATTTTTGATGAAGTGATCTGATATTCAAATCTGAAAATAATTTACAAAATAGATAAAACTTATTTATAAGAAAAAAAATAAATAAGAATACAAATAAATTAATAATAATTCTATAATTAAAATATATATGATTAAATAAACTTAATTAACTTAATTTATATTTCTGAAAAATAACTAAATTATATATAAGAATTATATGATTTTTATATAAAATAACAAGAATACTTAATTTAAATAATCTATATATCTTAATATAATGTAATATTCTTGATATAATAAGTATTTTTAATATATAACTATAATATAATAATTATAATGTGATAATATGATATAATATAATTTTTCTTAGAATTAATATTAATAGTATTATAAAGAAAATATTCAGTTTATTTTAATTAAGCATTATGTCAAATAGTATTATAAAGAGAATATCCAGTTTATTTTAATTAAATATTATGAATAATTCTTTTATGTAAAATAAATTCAATTTCATATTTTTACTTTTTTAATACTAGGTGTAATTATAGCTAATGATAATGTTGAACATATAAATTTTCTATTATCATTGGAATTATTGGTCTTAATAAAAATATGAAAACAGAATGAATTTTCATATGATTTGATAAATCCAATTTATATGTAACAAAAGAGATGACATTAACAATGGTGAAAATTCCAATATATTTATTTAAATATAAGTTTCTTAGTAAGATAATGTTTATTTACAAGATCAACGATATCACGAGTGGAAAGACTTGATCACCGACATATTTTGATTATTCGCAATTTTTTGTAAAGTGATTTCACAAACAAAAAAATTGAATTTTCGTTACACTGAACCTTGCGATTTGATTGGTTCACCCTTAAAAATCATCACGTGGCCCGAAAAAGCGTCCTAAACAAGTTGTAGAATTTTCTCCCTCGCATTAATTCTAATTCTCGCATGAATTCTAATTCCGGCTCGCATTAATTCTAACTCTGGTCCGCACTATCTATAAGCCACAATCTTTAAAGTCTATTATTAACTTGTTAACCGAACAAAAAATATAAATTATTAATTTACGCATTTTTTATTTTTTTTAATTACTAAAAGTTACTGATAGATTTTAAAACTAGCACAGTAGTTGAGGTTGGACTTGAGATGGAGGTGGTTGATATTGTCGTGACATTTTACATAATCTCGCGACAAGTCCAGCCAACTGCAGCAAAGATTGCACTCCCTCGAGAATCATCATATGAGTATTTCCGATTTCCTGGTTTTTTTTATTGAATGAACGGTAAAGAATCCATTTGATCTCGTCATTCATCACAAAGAAATCAATTTATACATACGTAAATCATCTGCAACTTCAAGTCCTCTGTAATTCCCGGAAAAGTTTTCGTGACCCTGAAAAAAGTCGTGACGATATCAACAGCACTATACCCGAAGTCCCAAAGTTGCGTCAGATATTTCAACGCTTCGTCAATATTATTGAGGAGGCTATACTCTATAATTTGGGACACAATGTGCGGATGTGGCGTGTCGCACACTTTGAATACGTTTTCCGAGTTTACGTAATTGAAGGCGGACCAGGTCGATTGTAGATTGTTGATTGCTTGGCGCATGTCTCCATCCGCCGTGTATATTATAGAGCTTAGTCCTTCGTCATTATATTTGACCTTTGTTTCATTAATATATTTTTTTTTGATAGATTATTATCATTATTATTATTATTAACTATATTCTTGGATATTAAAAGATAGTTACATTTTCTAATTTACATATCTCCAATAATCGTTTTAGAACTTGCTCATTAGATAATCTGTTGAATCGCAGAATAACGCATCTACTCTGAATCGGTTCGATAAGCTTGTTTGGTTGATTACACGCGAGCGCGAATCTCGTTATATTCGAGTACATTTCCATGATACGACGAAGAGCTTGTTGTGCGGATGAAGTCATACTAATGATAAACAAGAATATCTTGATATTTCATTGATCAATGAATATCAATTGAGAAAAGTCGTCCCGTTCTTACCTGTCAGCTTCATCAAGCACAACTATCTTTGTTTGACCAGGTGGAAGCGTTAGTTTCATTTTAGAAAATGCCTTGATTCTATTTCGAACCACATCAATCCCTCTATAACGAACAATCAAGAAAGATATCATTAACAAGTCAATAGCTCGAAGATTAGTCAAAGGCGCACTTTACTAACCGATCATCAGACGCGTTCAGTTCTAGTATGGCTTCTTTTGCCTTATCTCCCAACATCGTATTCCCAAGACATACAATGCTAGTCGTTTTACCGATCCCTGGAGCTCCCTTTTCAGATTTATATTTACATGCGTTAATTTAGTAAAAATAAATTTCTCTACGCGTCAGAAAATCAATAAGTACTGATAATAGCAAGTTTGGCATGTTTCCCGTGTTCGCAATGACTTTAAGCCGAGCAATCGCTGCCTCGTTGCCAACGATATCGTCTAAGACGCGTGGCCGATATTTTTCTACCCTAAAGATCATATATGAACAGAGCTGTTTGAACGTTTACGATTTAATTACGCGTCAAGCGTCAGCTAGAACACCCTTTAACGAAAATTATACGTACCAAGGTAGCTGGAAGGAGTCAACATTTCCTTTGAATTGCTCTAGTTCAATAGAAGCAGAAGAAGACATGTTTTTTTTAATGGATGAACGTAGAATGCTAGGAATTCACGTTTATTGTTCGTGAAGGATTCCGAATAATCTAATTTTGGTCACATGTATTTTTTGGAATCAATGTTTTTACTTTTTAAAGTATTTATTGCCAACCAAATTTCGAACTTGACAACAATCACTCAATATTTTGTATGCGCGAGTTTAACAGCAAATAAAATTATCAAGATAGCATAACATACATGAATTTTCACCAAACATCTCGTATACGTAAAACAAATACTAAAAAATCGAATGACACAATAAATGTAGAAATTTTTTCATCAAGGTCCTATGGACCATAGATTTTATTTAAAAAATAAATTTTGCCCAGTGACAAACTAATCAGCCAACACAATTCGAATACCATACTTCGTTAACAAGGCCGACAGGTCACGGTTCTGCTGGAGAAAGATTTGTTCCTATCATTATTAGAGAATAAAAATTAATAAATATACCAATAGTTGTTAGATAATCAAAGCAACAATATTGAAAATAAATATCTTACTTCCGCTGTCATCCTCACTACACTATTGATCGGGGGTCCATACCTCTCCAAATAAAACTTTAGCAGGTCGACATCACCGTACCGGATGTTTTGCATGATTAACATCCGATACGTTTTTTTTTGCCGAATATCAGCAAGATGCCAATCTTGGTGACGTCGCCCGCGTTTGTTGTTGTTCACACCAAGCCCTCCTACTATGCGTCCACCACCGTTCCGCGAGGCGAACTTTGCGTTCATCCTTGACGCGTACTTTTCCAAGAATTGTACCTTAGGGTTGGGCATTGGCACGTTCCCCACTCCTATGTAAGATAATAATCAAATATTAGTGGAAGAAAAAGTTTTAGGTCGAGTAAACCATGATATTTTGTTTTAAATTACCTGAACTAGCCATCGCCGGGGGCAAATAATTGGGTTGTTTGTCTAGGGAATAGAGAACGGACCAATACATTGGCCAGTTCGGATCTTGATGCCGCAATTGCATTAGACTAGGTCTTGTGATGTTGTTGCTATTGTTTCGATTACTACTAATACCACCGAAATCAACAGTTATTTCATCATCCTCGTCGTCAAGGTCGTCGTCATTGACGGTGGTTACAGGTAATGGTGGAGGAGGAGGTGGTGGTGGTGCTTGAGAATCAACTGTATCAACAAAAAATTCATCAAATATGCGATCCAGTAGACGCGGCGCCCGATATTGCAAGTGCGCTGTATAAGCGAAAAGTACTAGCGAACCAGAACGCACTGATAATCCATAGACATTCTTTAGGTAATGAATAAGCTCGCGTTGAAAATGCAAGTAGAAATTCTTGCAAGTTCTTGATAAATAGGAGTATTCCGTAAGACTCAGATGTTCAGCAACGCGAGTAACTAGTTCGGGCGGCATTGAGAGAATATTCGTACCAGAAGACAAAGGAGAATGTGGTAAAGCATTTGTTGCGCTGCTGCTGCCACCACCACTACTACTATTATTACTACTATTATTATTACCATTACCAACAATGTTGGTGTTTGGCACTATCCTTGATGAGGATGTTGAAGTAGTTGATGTTGAACCGGACGAAGAAACCGAAGTTGTGGCTGTACTGCCAGAGATGAAATCTTCTGGTTTAGCTTCACGCTGCATTTGTGAAAGTAAGACGGCAGTAGTTGGTGGGACTGGTAATGAAGCTGCACCACCGGAAAGATCTCTGTTTGGGGGAGGTGGTGTTGGACGGATGCCACCAGGATATAGATCGTAGTTGCTGTTGTAAATGAATCCACTTGTAGAAGTAGTAGCACTGTATATTGGAGTTGGGGTATATGGTGTAGTGATAGGGGTGTATGACGGTGATGATGATGATGATCTCGCATAAAGCGACGAGGCTGCACTATGTTCGATAAATCGAGGGTCATTCAAATATTCCGGATTGTCGATCAATGGTATAATGTCAGGACTAGGCAAACGTCCGTCAAAAACAAAATCATCTTCGTCCAAGTCCTCTATATCACTAAATGGGCCGTACAGGTCTTCCTCGCTATCTGTTTCGCTATCTTCTGACTCCTGATTCTCGATTACAATTCTATCATCTCGTTCATCATCAACTTGTTCGTCTTCGAAATCTTCCGTTAAAATGCTCTGGTTGCCAAATAATTCTGTGTTGTGTTCTCTTCTTGTAGGTGTTAATCCTTCATCTAGGAAGTTATTATTTTTACCAGCTGATTCTGCTATATTTTTATTTGATGACGTGAAAATCCAACCCGATCCTGATTCTGTTTCATCTTGTGATTTTATCATATTATTAGAAGATAAATTTTGCTGTGTTGATGCATTAGAGATATCTCCAAAACTTAAAGGAGATAACGTGTTGGATGATGGTGAAGATGATGATGTAGTATTTTCTCCAAATGATGATATTTCATTTGACGCTAATGACGATGAAGATACAGAATTTCCCACTCTGAATCCGGGTAATCCCATTGGAGGGGGATTTTCTGATGATGCTGGAGTAGTTTCTTTTAATTCAGGTATATCTGATGATGTAAATGACGTTGATGAAGAAGTTAAATTTTCTTGTTTTTGTGAGGATGCAATATTTGATTGTTGCTCTACTTCATTGGAAAACAAATTATCAGCTTGCTGTCTATTACGAATAGAATTTTCTCTAAAACCGGGTAGTCCCATTGGCAGAGGATTATCTGATGGGGGTAAAAATGTGGTAAAGTTGAAATTTAAATTTGCACAGAATTCAGGTAAATTTAATGGAAATGTGGTATCCGATTGTTGTTGTTGTTGTTGTGAAGACGACGACAAGGTGGTCGAGTTTCCTCTTCTAAATCCAGGCAACTCCATTGGAACTGGATTATTACTTGTTGGCTGTGGCGATGTCCTTGAATTTCCTCTGCTTCTATTGAACCCAAGCAATCTCATCGATTGCGGGTTATTATTGACATTAGCATTACTAGTAGTAGTAGTAGTATTATTATTATCATTATTATTATTATTATTATTATTATTATTTGAATGCGACTGTTGGGAGGACCTCGAGTTTTCCCTATTTCCTGACGTGCCACTCATGAAAGGGTTATTTTGGTTGTCAATAGTAGTGTTATCATCGCTATTTCTTGACTGTTGACGAGGTCGTAGTCGAATAAGGTATGAGGATTTGACACGCATGTTCTTTTTTAAATAATTTTATACTTTAGAAGTTTGTGCAAGTTCTAACGTCGAGAATAAATTCTTCAATCTTTTTGGTGTGGAGGGGAATAGAAATGGTAAAAAAAAAGTATGTGTTTCGTACAAGCAAGGCGCACAACAGTTTAACACCTTGAGCTTATAGCGAATATGTACGATGAACTATATTTTATTTTTTCGTTTTTGATTGTACTAGTGTCACACAGCAGCAGTACGGGTGGGTAACTTTTGAGATATATTATCATGATTATTATGGATACAATATAGATATTTTGATCAGTTGATCAGCTTGGTTACTTGGACATGAAAGGTCGGATGTGATCAACAATAACTAAATTTAGTCAACTATAATCAACCAATTAGTATGGCTATGTTACATTACTAAGGCCTGATGGTTGGTGATGGTGGCACGTACGCGATATTCACAAGAAAAGCACAAAAGATTTTAAAAAACGATAACTGGTTTTATTTCGATTTCTGCGATAAGATTCTTATATTTTCTTCCGAAACGCTTTAATCAGCCACTTTGATGATTAACTATAATCGACCAGTTTTTTTTATGCAAGCTGATGACGCACAGATGATGTGCAAAAATTTTTGTCAAACTATTTACATGTGTGTGTATATATATATTCTCATGTATATATATATATATATATATATATATATATACATATATGTATATGTATATATGAATTCAAATTTTTTTTAATCATTGATTGATCGAACAGCAGGCATGTTGCTCACACCAAAGCTTGATCACCTCACCGCAGCTGACTATGAACATATCTATGAGCCAGCAGGTATCTTTAAAAAAATCGATGATGATAATTAATAATGCATGTTGCTCATTAATTCTTTTTATAGAAGACACATTTCTATTGATGGATGCACTGGAAAAGGATGTTGATTTAATTAAAGAACAAGTGAAGCCAAGCATTTGTTTAGAGATTGGGTGTGTATATATGTTAGAGTGGAATCATTGATCACGGTGGTGATAGAATATTAATGAATGAATGAATGGCCTTTGGTAAGATCAGGATCGGGTTGCATATCAACCTTTCTTGGTCAGCTGCTTGGGGGTAGTAGTAATTCACGCAAGTATCAGACAAAGTCTGCATAATTGCGCTCGAATGATTATATTTATATGTTAATCTCTAATAGCATTCTTACATCACCATTGATTATAGTTATCTTATGTACCGATATAAACCCGTATGCTTCACAAATAACGCTTAAAACTGGTAAACAAAACGCGGTATTTCACTCATTTATAAAAATAGACATTTTGAATTCAATCTTTCTCACCTTTTCATGGGTTGTCATTAATTGTGATTTAATTCGTACAATCAACAAAAATAGATCCATCTTGATCCCATATTAACCGACTTGGCATCCGGTCTTTTACCTCGCCTCCGTCATTCTGTCGATATATTGTGTTTCAATCCACCTTATGTGGTCACACCATCAGAAGATGTGAATTCTCCGAGTGCTATTGAGAAAGCGTGGGCAGGAGGCATTGATGGAAGGGAGGTGATAGATCGGACATTGCCGTTGGTCGATGTAAGGGCTAGAATTGTTTTTACATGTGTTTATATATAAATCAGATGCGACGATTTAATCGTTTAAATTAGGAATTATTATCCGCGCGCGGAATATTTTATTTGTTGGTTATCAGCGAAAACAAGCCGGATGATATACGAAAGATCATGCAAGAGCGATATAATTTTCAATCAGAGGTGATTAATAATAATATTATGCGGTAATCTTATTATTATAGATCAACAAAAAATGAAGCGTTAATTTATAATGTTTGTTAATCTCTAAGGTTGTCTTATCACGACTTTCGGGAAGAGAGAAAGAGATTATTCTAAAGTTTAGACGGTGATGTATACTTGTAGATAAAGAATTGAAGGTGACTCACTTTCCGTTTAATTGTATTATGACCATTAAAAAAGGTAATGCTAATAATATACGTTTTGCCACAACTTTTTCATGTGTTCTGGTTCCCACAATTTTGTATTTGATGAGGCAAAATTAAAGGATGAAATTAATAAATGGGTAACTCTTGTTATTTTTATTGTCAAGAATCTTTGATTAGAATCCAATTTTTAATTTATTAATAAATTTTTTTTGTCAACTGTTAACAATCGTCCTTACAGTTTTAAATGTACAAATTTTTTGTATCCGAGAATCTAACGAAGCTACGCTATTATGATGAAAAAACACTGTGTCCCGCACAATTAAAGTCTTTCAATTGCCCCACATCCAATCTGATAAGTGTTCTTTAACACCACAAAGAAATTGCCTACTGTCAATTTTTCTGTCTCTCCATTTGCCCCATTAAACTTTGCCATTGTAGTCGCTTTGAGAATATTTAATCCATCACCATCGCCGCCATTCTGATCTGATATAAAAGTAATATCAGCGGTTAAATCATAGATTGTCTCTTGCCAATCTTGGCACCCATTTCCTTTGACCATTAGAAAACTATAATCGTTTTCGAATTTCTCGACTCCTTTTAAATATCCCATCAGGAATATCGTGTCATACGATGATTCTAAATTTGCTTCTTGTGAAGATGGTGATCCTTTTTTGTGGTATAGACGGATCGATCCGGTCACCGGATAACTTATCGAAAGCCTTCCAGTTCCCAAGGGAAAATATCCTACGGATCGTATCGTTTTGTTATCGTTTGATGCGATGTAAAATGGGTTATTGAATGTTTCGGTATGATTATGACGTGTAATACAGATTAGTACGAGGAACAGAATTGACGTTGATATTATTAGTAGAAATTTGCTTGGTGAATTCTTTGAAGGTACTAAGAATGAAGGCGAAGGTTTTTGTATGACATGAAGATGATTCTTTTCAATACCCATTTTAAATTTTTTTAAGACTTGATTATTTATATAATATATATATATGTCAACTGCGTAAAATTTCACTATACAAATAATTTGTGGTTTTATGGTTTTCGGAGAAAAGTTTAGTGACGACGTCTCTTTTTATAGTTTTGAAAAACATTTGACCTGAAACAACTACAAAGCAGTTCCCACGCCAGATTTGAATATAAAGCATTTAAAGTTAACAAAAATATTCTACACGCGATATTTGTGTCTCGATCAAGGGTAGAATGCATAAATATTCTTGTTTATATGGTCATACAAATGAAACATGCTAATTTCTTTGTTATAACCGAATTGTGCTGGCAAAAATAGCAAGGAATAATAAGAACAAAAAAAAATGATAAATATAACAATTGTTAGTGCATTTTTAATATCTAAATGTGAGTGCAGCAGTGATTCATGCCCGTTGATTTTCTTTGACAAATAAAGATTTTTGAACATTATTTGTTTTTGGAACTTGATAAATATTTATTTATATCCATATTATTGCTTCAATTCAGACTGCTTGTGGTCTACATCAGCCGTGGTACGAGCGCCGGTCAGAACGCGTCCAGCTGAACCACCTTAATAAGAAAACGAAATCGTACACATTTTTTTAAACAGTTTAATTAATAAATAATAAATAAATGAATATATAACTTTTCATTTACCTTCTTTAGGTTTTCCTTGCTCATTTTTATCTTGCAATCGTTTGGCTTCTTGTTTTTCTACCTCTTCGAGAGACGGGCGAGGAATTTCAGTGTTTTTTGGAACCTCTTGGTCTCCAATAAAGGTGCGTTCCATTATGATTATTCTTATAATTAATAATTGTTATTCTTTAATAATTTGACTATTATTGGAAATAAAAAGTTTTTTTGCAAAATTTTCTTTTGCTTCTCGACGAAAATGTCAGTTCGAAGGAAATTTATATTAGAGAGCAGTGTGCATGTCGTCATTAATCAAACAAATTACATCATATTAACGTTTTGTGGGAATATAGACCACGTTTCTTAAAAGACTAGAGTACCACTATGCTATATAAAAATGAATCAAACCCTCTTCTCTTGAATATAAAAAAAATCGACAGCAATAATCAAGGCGGTTGTAATCATCGTAATTGCAATTTTTAAAGTTGCTGATCTATTTGATGGTAGCCTTGTCACTCTTATTCGAGTAAGATTTAGCCGTCGCTGTGGTTTATGGTCGGTTATTCGGTTAGGGTACTGTTGATGATGTGATCGGAAATTGTCGATAATTGCGATGATTACTATTCCGCTAGCAAAGGTTGCGGTTGTGACAAGTTCTAATTATTAACGATTAATGCTTTCCTTTGGCATTCTAATTTGATTGAAAAATGATTTTTTCCCCACCTGGATGTAGAAAAGCCAACTATGCATAGAAAATTAAGAATAAATCAAAAAAGAAATACAAATAAAAATACCCGCTAAAATTTAACATACGCTCAACTGGTGATGAAAAAACCTCCATTTGACATCTGATATACTGCAGCCGTCAAGTCTTTCCACAACTTTTTTGCACATTTTAAAAATTGGCGAGACTCTTGGAAACTCAAAGTGTTTTACCTTATTACTACCGCCGTTTCTAATCCGACCGCCTCGCAACATAATGAATCTTACTATCATTATCATGTTGAGATTGTGATAAGGATGCATTCCTTAGCTAAACGGAAGCCTATATATCATTTGATTTTTGATGCTAACTTGATCAAATCACCTTTTTTCACACTGATTGATAATGCCACATTTAATTATTCAAGTCGTGTGTAGATTTTTCGAAAACCATGATTATATTATAACGAGTGCAAGAAATTGTATCGACATTACCATTCCCGAATAGATTGGTATGCAAAATGTGAAGTATAACTCCGCTTATTTACTTCGCAATAAAAAAATACAAAGTTCAAGAGGGACCATTCCGTTAAACACAACTCGTCTGGTAATATCAAACTCGCAAGCAAAATTTTACAAAGCAACAATTATTACTAATATGACTTCACTAATCTAATTTATACATGTATAGGTCAGAGAATAAAATACAATGCTAATTTTATAAGACATTATAAATCAAATAGAGAGTATTAAGTTCAGAGATTTTCTTTTATTAAAAAATTAATTCATTATTCACGCTTTTCATTTTATATTTTTATATGCATGTAGTTTTCTAGAAACATTATTCCCCTATCTGATCACTTGATTGTGCTGATCAAGGGGAAGATGAACACGCTCTTTATATCATACACACAATAATGCTTTTTGTTACACTTCCTTTACTGTATCATAGATTCCAATCCGAAACATTATTTTATTCGAATACCAGTATGACCCCTTGCATCAGAAAACCTTTGATAATTTCGATAATGAGGGACTTTGTGAAGAAGTATTTTTTGAAAGCTATAGGTCAAACTAAAATTATAATATCTTTTCATCATTTTAAAAGGAAAGAAAGGTTTAAAAGTTCGGTGTTATGATAAAAAAATTTGTAAACGCAATAAATTTCTATTTCTTCAACTAGTTGATACTCACCTCCCCAAAATATATATCAAAAAATAAAAATACTAGTATAATTAATAATACAAACATTAAAGTATATTAAAGACTAACTTAGACAAGAGAAGAATAAGGCGGTGGCGGTGGCCGCGACGAATCATCATCCCTACTCACAGCTGCACCAACGCTGCTATGATGATTATTGTCGCGATTATATCCAAAAGAAATCTCATTCGCATGAGTTTCACGTCTATAACTAGGCGGGTCTCCGATTCCATCGGCATTCAACGCGGTAACGCTCTCCAAAGTAGCCACTTCAGATTTCTTTTGATTAGCAGCCAAGGAACTCTGCATAATCATTGAGTAGTAATCCGCCATCGTTTTTTTTGCCTTCACATCGGTTGGATCAAATGTGACTGTGACTTTTAGTGTGTCAATCGCGTTGTTATTACTACTACTATTCAGGCTTAACGTGACTGCAAAAGTGTATCTTGAGGCGATTGGATTCACAGAAGCGAGTGTTGACGTCGAGACATCTTTGAGAATTAATGAAAAGGTTTCGAAACCATCCTCGGACGGTTTGTCTGCAACGAAGATTAATCGTTTGTCTGTGATAAAGACACGTCCGGTCGCGGAATACGATTTTTCTTTGTTTCTGGTCACGCTGACCAGAGAAAAGGTTACCGGATGGTGACGATAGAAAAATCCCTCATTGTCCACCGCTATGGGGATTTTCGAAGAGTTATGTATTCGTATGGGTAGTGTGTTAACGTATGCCATAGTTTTTTTTTTAGAAAATTCTTACGCAGTGTGTTCTCGAATATTGGTAAAATTGTAAAGAAAGACTAAATCGCAATTTATGGTCTGTCATATAATCAAATCTGACCAATAGGGATACGCATCATTTTTTTATCGGTTCGGCAATGAAAAATGCCTAAATCGCAACTCTAAACGGTAAGATGTTATTAACGTTTAACGTTAATCAAAATCATATATAAAAAACAATAAAACAAACAATCGATCTTTATTATTTTTCCTAAAAGAAGTTGTTACATAATTAACTGTTACATGAATTTTTTTGTAAAACAACCATTTTTTGTAAAACAACCTTGGCACCAGATTATCACGTGATAAAGATAAACCAATCAATCAAAAGATCTGATTAATAACACGAACTCAGAAAGCTGTTTTCATTAAAAATCACATGATTTGTCAATATTTGTATTAAAACACTTTAATATTATATTCTTTTTTACTTTAATATCTATTTTGAATTATTTGATATAATAAAACTTATATTTAAAAATATTTAATTATTTTTAGTTTTGATTTTAAACTTATTAAGCTTAATATAATTTGAAATAATAATAATAAATATTTATTTTTAATAAACTAGTTATTAATTATATGATTTAAGTTTATATTCTATTTTATAAATAAAAATTGATAATTAATTTATTAAATATATATTTTAAAAATAAGTTTTTAAGAAATATTTTTATAATATTTTTATTTTAATTTGAAAAATATAATATTTTATTCTATTTTTTCTATTTTTATTTATAATAATTAAACTAATTATTTTTATTATTTAATTATTATAATTTATTTAATTGATATAAAATTTATTTTATCTTTAAATATAAATTTAATTAATATTAAGTTAATTTATTTAATATTAATATATAACTTATATAAAATAAATATATAAAATTTATTTATATAATTAATTTAATTTAATATATAAATTAATAAATAAAAATAATTTCTTATTTTTAATAAAAATTAACTAATATACTAATTTATTTTAATACTATTTTAATTTTAATTTTATTTTTTTCTATTTTATATAATTTAAATTAAAATTGCTTGTTAATTTTATAAATTATTAGTATATAATTTATTTTAATTATTTAAAATCTTTTTAAATTTTAATAATATAATAAATTTACTAAAATTCAAAATTATAATAAATTATTAATATATAATTTAATATAATTTTTAAATTTTAATATTTTAATAATTTTTAATAAGTATTTTTTAATTATAATTATTTCATTAAACTAATTATTTAGTTTTCTAATTTGAATTTTATAAAAATAAAATAAAATATAAAAATTATTTAATAGTAAAAATTATAAAAAAAATTATAATTTTAATTATTATTATAAGTTTATATTATAATATAATTTATAATATAATTTTTTATTATATTTTTTATATTATTTTAATTAAATTATTAAATTTATTTTTAATCTTATATATAGTAATAATCAAAAATAATAACTTAGTAACTAAATTTATTAATAAAATATAATAAAAATTAAAATTTTTTCTTAAATTAAAAAACTAAATAATTTAATAAAATAATTAAACTTATAATAGTAATCAAAAGTAATGACTTAGAAGCTAAATTTATTAATTAAATATTATAAGATTATTTTATTATTAGTTATAAATAAGATAAAATATAATATAAATAATTTTTAATTTTATAACTTATAATTATTTTTATTATTAAAAATATTTAAATCTGAGATAAAAATATAAAATAGAAAGATTCTATTTATAAAAAATAAAATAAATACAAAATACAAATAAATTAATAATAATTTATAATTAGAATATATATAAATTAAACAAAATTAATTAACTTAATTTATATCTCTAGAAAGTAACTAATTATAATTCAATAATTATAAATATAATAAATAATAATATAAATAATAATTAATAAGAATAAGTAAAAAAATAAAAAATAATTAAAAAGAATATCTAATTAAAAATATTAATTATCTAAATTAATAATATAGATATATATAATAATTTTCTATATAATAATATATTAAATTTAATATATTAAATACATGATAATTATTTATATATTCAAAATAAAATTGATCTTTAAAAAAAGTAATACAAAAGCTAATCTGTTATATAAATAATATAAAATAAAGATCTAAGCTAAAAGAAGATAATCTAATCAAAATTATTATAAATATAGTAAAAATTAAAATTTTTTTTCTATATTAAAATTTATAATTTTATTTAGAAATAATTTTTATATTAAAATAAAATTATTTTTTAATAAAATTATAAATTTTAATATAAAGAAAATTTTAATTTTCACTATATTTTATTAATAAATTTAGTCTCTAAGTTATTACTTTTGGTTATCACTATAAAAGTACTTATTAAAATTATTAAAATATTAAAATTTAAAGATTATATTAGCTTATATATTATTAAAATTTAAAATAATTTTTAATAATTAAAATAAATTATATATTAATAATTTATAAATCTTATAAATTTTAGTAAATAATTTTAATTTAAATTATTTAAAAATTTATAAAAATAAAAAAAAATAAAATAAAAATTTTAAAATAATATTAAAATAATATATTAACTAAATTTTATTAAAAATAAATAATTATTTTTATTTATTAATTTATATATATAATAATAGCTAAAAATAATATATTAGAGACTAAATTTATTAATAAAATATAATAAAAATTAAATTTTCTCTTTATATTAAAATTTATAATTTTATTAAGAAATAATTTTTATTTTTATATTAAAATAAAATTTATTAATTATAAT